TTGGTACACAAGAGAAGGAGATGTACACTTTGTTCATTTCCTCTGTTTCCCAGAAAAAGACCATTAAACTGTGTTTGCAAAGGACATGGTAAAAAAGTTTTGAGTGATTAACCAAGTAGCTTTATAGCTGCGGTCATCTCTGCTGCCTCTTAGAAATAGCATATAAATATAGAGAAGTAGGGAGAAAATATCTGAGTTAACAGGGTGTGGGTAATGATTTACCCTGGGAAAGTCAATCATTATGATTTAGTAATTTTCTACCATTATGGCACTGACAGAAAGCAAATATATTTTCCAGTGCCTAATGAAACTATAAAGAGGCTGAGGTCTGTGTAGGCTGGGGGGTACAGCCAGATGGCAGGGGGAACCAAATCAGCCAGGGACACACAGAGCCATTTCAGAAATTTAAAATATGAGTCAAAACACCATGTAAAATGTTTATAATATCTAAATGTTAAACATATGTAATCATTCTAGCCTGAGATAAATTAAAAATAATGAAATTGATACTATAACAAATGAATGAAATTTAGTTAATCATGAAAAATTGAAATTATATTATTGGATCTTTTAAAAAATAGTGTGATTTTAAAAGCAAAGTTCACTGATGGTGTCATCATTGCAATACAAGTATAGTTTTGGGGTAGAAATTTCCAGCAGGTTTAAAAACTCAGACTCTATACTAGTTGCAGAATGGTGAACAGAGTTTTGCTCTAATTGTTGTTAGCATTTTCTTCTTAGCTGTTATTTTAAAATAATTTCTTTTTGATTTTTTTCTTAAGGAACTGATATTTTTATGCTTTAGCATATTATATCCTCATTGCATCCTATGAACTAGATACTATTATTAGCCCCATTTTACAGATAGGCGAACTGAGGCACAGAAATAACAAGTAATTTGCTCACAGACATGTTGTTGTTGTTCAGTCACTCAGTTGTGTCCAGCTCTTTGCGACCCCATGGACTGCAGCACACCAGGGTTACCTATCCTTCACTATCTCTACAGTTTGCTCAGACTCATGTCCATTGAGTTGGTGAAGCCGTCCAACCATCTTATCCTCTGTCTCCCCCTTCTCTTCCTGCGCTTATCTTTCCCAGCATCAGGGTCTTTTCCAATGAGTCATCTCTTCGCTTCAAGTAGCCAAAGTATTGGAGGTTCAGCTTCAGCATCTGTCCTTCTAGTAAGTATTCAGGGTTGATTTCCTTTAGGATTGACTGGTTTGATCTCCTTGCAGTCTAAGGGACTCTCAAGAGTCTTCTCCAACACCACAGTTCGAAAGCATCAATGGACATATAGTAAATTACAAAGTTAAGAAATGAACCCAAATAACCAGACTCTAAAGCTCTTTCTGTTAAACACTACAGGGTATACTCTGAACTTTTCTCAGCCTCAATTTTCTCATCTATGAAATATGGTCAATAAGTCTTCTCTTTAGTGATGGTTGTAACAATTAAATATAATGTGGAGCTTGTGTAGGGAAGATGTTGGTGCTGCCTTATCGGTTTCTGAATTGTTTAATTTCTTATAATGAGCATGAATAATTCATGTATTTTTTAATCAAGAAAAATATGTTAAGGCCTATCAGAGTGTCTGGCACAGACAGGCACCCAATAAAGTCATTATTATGTCTGAAAGCAAAGTCAGAGTTTCCGTTTAACTCAATAGGGATTTGTCATCTCTGGAAGCTCGGGTGCAAAGGGAAGAAATAGGGGAACAGCTAGAGGAGAATTCAGGTTACAGGTTTTTACTTGCCAGTGAGTAGAGCTTGTACATCTTGAAGTGCCGGAGCCTGCCGGCAAACGAACCGGTCACGGGCGCAATCGCCGAAATACCTGAGAAATAAAAGAAAAGACTAGGAAAGAAAGACTAGGAAAGAATGGGGTTGAGAGGGACGGAGTCAGCTCTCGACTGAAACCGACAACCGACAACCAACAACCGACAACCGCCAACTTTATTGAGGAGTGACATGCTTATATATGAGCAAGGGAGTGGCGTCTTAGTATGATTACAATCAGTTAAAAGATTATCATGATCACAATCAATTAAAGATTATCTAAGGATTACTTAGACATAAACCATACGCAGGAGCCTGACAATCTCGTCAGGAAAATGGGTAAAAGGTCGCTACAGCAATTTCCTTGAGGGAGGTGAGAAAGGTCAACCTGTACTTTAATAAATCAGGGGTGGCGGGACAGAGAGGGACCTCTTGATCTCTCTCAGGGCCAAGAAGGAGCCTGAGCGGTCAGGCTGGCTCCCCGCATTGAAGTAAGGGCTGAGAACCAATGGGAGGGACAGTGCATTGGTTGAGGCAAGTGGGAATTAACCGATGGAGCAAAGTCCCAAGGAATTTGGGGTGGGGGTGTCCTAGAACCTTGGATGAATTAACTTATTTTAGAGAAGATTAACAGTGACCTGTTAGTTGATAGGCCCCATTTTCTTTCTTTAATTTTTATTGGAGTATAGTTGCTTTATAATATTGTGTTAGTTTCTGTTGTACAGCAAAGAAGCTCCATTTTCTAAGGTAATAAAAATACCATTTTGGAAAATGAGAAGGGAATTTAAAAATAAATCTATGGTTTTCCTTATTTATCTACCTGTTTCTGGGGGCCATGAGAATAAGTTTCCTGAAGAGGAGACATTAGTTTATTTTTCCATTTGTGGCTTGCAATGGTAGAATGATCGCTGGCAAAAGAATATCTTTTCAAGCAGCTTCCCTTGGTGTAGGTCAGGGGGCAGCAAGAAGAGTTATTTCTGCAGCTGGAAAAAAGGTTCAGAGCTGTCTTCCTGGAGTCAGCTCTCATTTCATAGTCTAAAATAGATGTGAAATACTGTGCTATTTGGGAATCAGGGCCCATTCATTCTAAGCACATCTGTTGGTAGCTGTTGAAATTCAAATAAAATCAAATAAAGTCCAAGTAATATTCATGTTATACTTATCAATTTCAAGGAGTGTTAAAAAACACATATACAGAAAACCTACACTCCAGTCGCTGACAACTAAGACACAACTTGGAAAGCTTTGATTTTCTGCCAACCATAGCTACTTTGAACCTGAGCCACCACATTTTAATTCCTTTAAAATGCCCCTTCTTCCCTACTTGAACTTTTCAACTGAGATTCATTTTCATTTCAGAAGTTTAAATATGAACTGTATCAAATACTTCTGTATTTTGATGCTGATGATTCCACAACCTTCAGTAGTGAAATGAGGTGGTTAGACTACTAAACTCATAAAGCCAAGATTGAATGAATGCATTTTTCTCTGTCTTCTCTCCAATTTTAGTAAATAAAAAATTTCAGTTAGGTACTGTGATTAAGGAAACTTGGTATCTCTATCAATTTATACATGACTCCAATCCATTAGGGATTTAAAGCATCTTTAAAAAGGCAAACACAAGACAGAAAAATAAAGGAAATTCCTTTTTTCAATTAAGCCATGACTCTCTGATAACAAGATCTGACCTATCAAATGTATTGAAAGAAACAGAGTCATTTTAAGGTTGTGAGTTGTAGTTTTTTCTGAAGAGTTAAAATTTTGATTAGTGTTTCAGGTACCATATGTATATGTCTTTACATGGGAGTTTACAGTGTTCCAAGTAGGTATAACACCCAAGTACATTACATGAATTATCTCCTTTAGTTTAAACCTCATAATTACCTTATGAAGTATTATTATTTCTATCTTATAGGTAAAATAAGTTTCCAAGGTTTACAAGTAAGTAATTTGCCCAAAGTCATATAACTGAGTCAGGGTTCAAATCCATGTCTGTTATTCTGAGTTATTAACTCAACAAACTGTGGAAAATTCTTTAAGAGATGAGAATACCAGACCACCTGACCTACCTCCTGAGAAATCTGTATGCAGGCCAAGAAGCAACTTGGCCAAGAACCAACTGTTCTATGTCCAGTTAGGACTGGACATAGAAAAACAGGCTGGTTCCAAATCGGGAAAGGAGTACGTCAAGGCTGTATATTGTCACCCTGCTTATTTAACTTAACATCATGCGAAATGCTGGACTGGATGAAGCACAAGCTGGAATCAAGATTGCCAGGAGAAATATCAGTAACCTCAGATATGCAGATGACACCACTCTTATGGCAGAAGGTGAAGAAGAACTAAAGAGCCTCTTGATGAAAGTGAAAGAGGAGAGTGAAAAAGTTGGCTTAAAAAAAAAAAAGTTGGCTTAAAGCTCAACATTCAGAAAACTAAGATCGTGGCATCTGGTCCCATCACTTCATGGCAAATAGATGGGGAAACAGTGGAAACAGTGAGAGACTATTTTTTTGAGCTCCAAAATCACTGCAGATGTTCACTGCAGCCATGAAATTAAGACACTTATTCCTTGGAAGGCAAGTTATGACCGACCTAGACAGCATATTAAAAAGCAGAGACATTACTTTGCCAACAAAGGTCTGTCTAGTCAAAGCTATGGTTTTTCCAGTAGTCATGTATGGATGTAAGAGTTGGACTATAAAGAAAGCTTATTGCTGGAGAATTGATGCTTTTGAACTGTGGTGTTGGAGAAGACTCTTGAGCGTCCCTTAGATTGCAAGGATATCCAGCCAGTCCATTCTAAAGGAAATCAGTCCTGAATATTCATTGGAAGGACTGATTGAAGCTAAAACTCCAATACTTTGGCCACCTGACGAGAAGAACCGACTCATTTGAAAAGACCCTGATTCTGGGAAAGATTGAAGGTGGGAGAAGGGGATGACAGAGGATGAGATGGTTGGATGGTATCACTGACTCAATGGACATGAGTTTGAGTAAACTCCAGGAGTTGGTGATGGACAGGGAAGCCTGGCGTGCTGCAGTCCATGGGGTCGAAAAGAGTCAGACATAACTGAGCAACTGAACTTAACTGAAATCTAAATTATGCCTTATACATGGGAGGCTGTGAAAGAGAAGATCAAGGACTATAAAAAATAAATAGAAATATACTAGAAGTTACAAAAAGTAAATTCACATGTAAAAGGAGATATTTGTCCAAAGCCAGGCAAAGTTTTAAAGCAAGTTTTATGGTAAAAATACAGCATCAGGAAGGAAGACAAACAGTATCAACAACACAGAACAAGGCTCCACGAAGGTGCGGCAGAATCGCACACTCGATTCTCAAGGTGTGTTCCTGCGTTCTCTAGTGCCTTTGGGAAACATGAGTCCTCTCTGTAGGTTCTGGAGCAGTAAAAGACCCTTACTCTAGGAAGCCTAATAACTTAGCATCTGACTCTAATACTGCTGGTTTCTTCTAACTGTGCTTTCATCTGTATGTTGAAAAGCACAACCAATGTTAGAATCTGTAATGTTTAATAACTAGTATTGTTCACCTATTAGTATAGGGGCTTCCTTATTCCTTCTCAATTTACAGAAAAAATATTACCCATGATTCCACTATTCTTTGTCAATAGTGATTTTCACTGTTGCCTTTTTTGATATGTAGTATAAAGCAGAATTATTATTTGACTCCTTCCACCATTAAATAATAACATTTTTAAAGTTTTCATAATTACAATTCTAATGGCTGTATAACAGTCTATTGAATTGTTATTTATATTGGGCATGTTTTTTTGTTTCCAGTATTTTGCTATTATAAATATCCTTCTAAGAAGTGATTAATGTATACAATTTACTTGTATTTCTTCATAAGTGCATTGTATGTTTATATACTTTGACTATTTATCTATTGAGGTTTTAACATTTTTGAAAATTTGAGTAAGTTCTTTATCTATTATATATACTACTGTTCTATCATGATCAATACAGATACTTCCAAGTACGTTTCTCTTCTTTTAATTTTGTTAGTTTTTTATGTTAGAACCACTGTTTTACTTGATGTTGTTGAGCTATTTATTTTTTCCTTTGTGATTTTCTTTACTGCCCTAAGCTTTTCAAAGATACTATTCCTCTAAAGATTTCATTAATATTTGATTTTTTTTTCCCCATAGCTCTGCTAAGAATTAAAGCTAATATTTATTCTTTTTAATCCACTAGAGGCTTACTCTTGTAATGTGTTATAAGAGCTTATCTAAATCACTTTTTGTTTTGTGTTTGTTTGCCAGTTACCCTGGCAATTATGAAAGCATAATTAGGCAATTATGAAATAGAATTAGGCAATTATTAAATAAATATTATCTTTCTTAATATGATAGTTATATGATACATTAAATTTATTTCTATATGTCCCACACTTCTTTACTTTAATCATTTAATTATTATACTTTGTTTTAGGATTTTCTGGGAACTAGATCAGCATCATAACTTATGGCTTGTTAGTGCAGAATTTTAACATTTAACAAATAGTAAACTTTACTTGGTAAAATTTGTTTGCCTATGATAAATATATATATATATCAATTTGATCATCTTGTTTTATACATTCTAATATACCTTTATAGTTTTCTTTACATATGGCTCATAAGTCTTTAAATCTTCTTTATAAATGTCATAGGCAATTCTGTTAAATTTATCCATCCCATCTCTTTTTCTTTTTTTGGAATGGAATTTATTTCCTTTTTATTATGTTATTGAACTGGCTATTAAGTTATTGAACTTAAAGCAAAGCATCTAATTGTGGTAAATTCATTATAAACCCAATCACACTGATAAACTCATGGGATAATAAATTTAAACAGATTTCTTAGAACTTCTATACATGTAGTGCTTTCTGAAAATAATGAGTTTTATCTCTCCCTTTAATGTTTCATTCCAAAGTGAATAACAGTTTCCTAAATAGCAGTTTCCATTTGTGTATTAAATGGCTGAGCATTAGGCTGAGAGAGAGACTTGAATCCTTCTGTCAGGAGACTTGAATCCTACTGTCAATTCCTCAACTAAGAGAGCCATCTAGCAAGCACCTTCTGTGGGTCAGGCACCATACTAGGCACTTTACATAGTCCATCTTGCCTAAGGCTTAGAATAGATATACTATTAAATGTCATAGGTGAGGGAGCTGAAGTTTAGCAGGTATAGAAGGCTGGCCTATGCTAGGCCCCTAAGAGCATTGAGAAATGGAATATGGAAGTGTCTAACTATGGTAGCCTGCGTGTAAAAGGCCATGGTTTGTGGTTCTGGAGTCCTTGACCTGGCAGGTTTTTCACTCCTTGTGGAGCCCTGGCAACTGAACTTTAGCCAAGGGCCTGAGAAACTAGGGAGGCATGGAGAAGCTGCATCAGCTTGCTTCCATCCTTATCTTGTACGTACACTTCACACTTCCTGCTTCCAGGTCACACAGTAAACATGAGTGAAAGCAGTCCTGGAGGAAGTCTGTGTTCCTCTTCTCACCAGCCCTTCAACCCAGATCAGCCTTCTGAGTTCTGGCTCAGCTCACTGGGTTAAGTAATGTGTCCAGTCCACCAGTGAGTGGTGGGTAAGTGGCTTCCTCCAGAGCCAGTGGTCTTGTCATTGTCCCGGTGATTCTACACCAGGGGTGTGGTCTGGGCAGGTCAGTTCACCTTTCTGCCATCATTCCCTCATGGATACAATGCAAGAGTCAGATGATGATCCAGTTCTGACAGGCAGACTGTTGTTGAATACATCTTTTACTCTTCTTCAAGACTATAAATTCCTCAAGGACAGACTATACTTTCCATGTTCTTGAATCAACACTTCGCACATGACAAATGCTCCATGGATATTTGTTGATGCAGAATGAATGCACTGATCAATCAACTGAAGACAATAGTCTTAATGCTCTTCTCACAGGAGATCTTCAGTGCTAGAACACAGGTTCCTGTAGGGTCATTTCACACTGCAATTGTGGAATTGTTTTATAAAGATAGCATTTGTCATGCACCTCTTTATAAGAAGTTGCTTAGCAGGGGTCAGCTTGTCTTCATCTGAAAAGAACAATTGAGGTTAGGGAAGTAGAAAGCCTAGAAAGGATTCAGGTTGGAAACTGTGGTAAGTAGGCTGTCCTCTGACAAAGCTGTTTTGGCTGTGTTTATCTTTGTGCTGCTGTCTAGCAACAATATGACAAAACTGTGACTATTCAAATGTAATCAAACTAGAGCCTGTCCAAAATCAATTTTGAATAAATGATGAACTATGGGGAGCAAATCTTAATATATCTGGACATGCAATAGAAAATTACCAAATATTATGTTCCTGTAATTTAAACAGTGTTTCAAATGTACCCTTAGAAGATACAATTATATTACTTGCATATTAATTAATAGCATGTTCTCTTTTTATGCCAAAAAAAAATTCCAAAGGAAACTACCCAGCCTTCAGGAGGCATAGAATCTGTCGATTTTGTAATTACTGATGTTAAACTTAAAATCTCATTGAAGTCATTAGTTAATATTTCTAAATCTTTATGTCTGAAAACTTCTGTGCGGATGTCCCCACGCTTTCTTGCCACCTCTCCATTCCCAGCCAAAGAGGGGAGGGAGAGGATACCTATACTGCCAATAGTTACAAAGGTTATTTATGGAAGAAAAACAGGAATTTGCAGTATGTACACGTGTCTGGCTTTGTCTCTTGAGCTTCACAAAGACCAGCAGCATACTGAACTATAGAATTGCTGTTGTCTGAGACTAAAAGAGAAATCTAGGGAAATGAAATATTTTTGTCAAAAATTACTGCAATGTCAAATTTTTTAAACTAAGCTTTTATATGGAAGCATATGGAGGGAAAAACTATAAGGAGTCAGTTTTTTATGAGCCTTAGTATTGCTGGAAAAGAAAACATTACAGAGACCAGACCAGTTTCTCTAACATGGATACAAAGGAGAATGACGTCATCATAGCAGCAGTTTTGTGCTGCCACAATAAAGATCAATGATGGTGCTTTCCATATCCTTTAACTAAACCAAAATACCTACATTTAGTTGCAACCTGAGAAACAGGTAATTAAGTCACAAATGACTTTACTTTCATTTTTTTTTTACATATTACACTTTGTAATAGTGTTTAGTTTTATTGTCCCAGAACAGGAAAAGGAAAACATCATGTTAATTAAATTTTGGTAGTAACTTATTCATCATGTGCATAATTTTTACATCATCAACAAGAAAGGTACAGGGCTCAGTTATAGAAAATGCCATGGCAACCTGAACTGAGATGGTCCTGAATTCTCTAGACTTCTTTCAGGCTTCCTAATGTTAAAGTTCTGTGCAAGGTAAGATATGAAAGAAGAAAAAAAAAACCTCCTCATCTAAACAAGCTTGATCTGAATAAATATACCGATAAATTTTATCTCTGTGCTAGAACAGCATGACTCCATCAGGCCTCAAGGATTTCCTGTGGACCAAGTTCCAAGTTCTAGAGTGGTTGTCTAGTTCCCCCTCCCACCCTTTCTCCATTGGAATCCTGCCAGATGATACTGTGCAAAAGTGATAAAATTTTTAAGGAGGCTCACTTAAAAAAATTTTAAGGAGGATCATGACTATGTATGTAACTGTGGAAAGGTTTATGAGTCACAAAATACTACAGATGGTAAAGAGTCTGCCTGCAACGCAGGAGATGCAAGAGACAGGGGTCGACTCCTGGGTCAGGAAGATGCCCTGGAGAAGGGAACGGCAACCAACTCCAGGATTCTTGCCTGGGAAATGCCATGGACAGAGGGACGTGGCAGGGCTACAGACCATGGGGTTGCATAGAGTTGGACATGACTGACTGACACACACACAGTTTATTTTGACCTTGAGTTAAAAGGATCCAGCTCTACTGGCTGACTTGAATGGGGCTCTTCTTTATTTACTCAAGCTAAATTTCAGATCAGCCCTTGAAGTATGTGAGCTCAGCTATATTCTCTAAAAGAGAGCCAGGCCCATGTGAACCTGGATCCGAGTTTACTTATTCAGTAACATCTGGCTACTTGGATCTCATCATCTGTCGTGTACGTCACCATGTCACTCCCAACCACAGGAAACCGAGGATCGGCTTTGTGTGACAGAGAGGGAGCACTCTGGTAAATATATTTTTAACAGATCTAATTTTGTAAGTAAACTAATACCACTTGACTGTTTTTAACTTCTGATTTTAGATCAGGAAAGAAAACCAATTTAAAAACATTTTCCCTAAAAATCTTGGAATAAGATAGGAATAGGGGCATCTTCTTGTGCTTTATTTTGGCAAGTGCTTCCTGAGGTTCTCACCAGGAGAGGCTGATGGCTCTCAGAGTGTGGCGCAGCCATGTAGGGACTGAACATAACAATCCTCTTTCTAAGGGTACCAAGCTCTGGAAAATGACTGAGCAGATTTATAGAATCTAGTGTATTAAGTGAATTCCGTTTAGGAGAATTTGGCATGTCAGCCTGTGCTGTTTTATAATGAACATCCAAGCTCTGCCTAGTTTGTCTAATAGAGTATTTATAAGGACAAAGTAAGTTCCAATTTAATGTAATTTCTTATTAATATTTAGTCAAAGTAAAATGCAACATCAAGCATATTACTAACTATATTCATTATAGCAGTTTACATAGCAGTTGCTATGGGTTCTGTATTTATATTTCATACCTCTTTTTCTGGAAAAAAAAAACTGAAGCTGAAACTTAAACAGCTTACATGTTTGCTTTTTTTATCCTTCATAGGAAAAATTTCTTTAAAGAAATTATATAAATATCTAGGTATACTGCTTTTAGTATTTACTCCCTCTAATCTATCTTCTACAGGCAGCTTGAGTCTTCATTCAGAAATACAACTCAGTTCTCGTCTTTACAGAAAAAATTCTACGTCCTCAGCAAGCTGTACAAGACCCTCCACCATCTAGCCACAGCCTCACTAATCTATTTTAAGTTATAAGAATCTCCCACTTGTGTTGTATGAAAGGAGAGAAGGTTAGCACACTCTCCTAGACAAGAATGGAAGAGACCCTTGGCCCTCAGAGCATCCATATGGTTAAGGCATTGCCACCTACTTCGTGGCATCTAACAACTACTGTTTAAAGAAAAAACAGTCTCCTACTCAAAATGTCTGGTGTCTCCATATTGTTAGTTTGGGTACTTTAGCTACTATTTTCCTTTGTTAATAATACATCATAAATATGTTAGTCTAACAGTTTTTCAATACTATAAAACTTATTTACACACAGGGAAAAAGCATTCCTTATTACCATGTTGGAGTTATTAACATGGGTGTTTCCCTGGTGACTGAGATGGTAAAGAATCTGCCTGCAATGTAGGAGACCCAGGTGTGACCTCTGGTGGGGAAGATCCCCAGCGAAGGGAATGGTTACCCAATCCAGTATGCTTGCCTGGAGAATTCCATGGACAGAGGAGCCTGGTAGGCTACAGTCCATGGGATCACAAAGAGGCAGACGTGACTGAGCGACTAACACGTATCTTTACCTATAACACACCTTTGGAGAAACACCACCATTGGTAAAATATTGCATAGTAGTTAACTCTGGATGTCAGTACTTCCCAAGAAGAGACATTGCCAATAAAATTTCAGCATTCATTGTACTGAATTTGATCACAATTTATATTTTGATCTATGTTCAGATTGTTCTTTCCCATGCTACTGCTGCTGCTAAGTCACTTCAGTCGTGTCCGACTCTGTGTGACCCCATAGACAGCAGCCCACCAGGCTCCACCGTCCCTGGGATTCTCCAGGCAAGAATGCTGGAGTGGGTTGCCATTTCCTTCTCCAATGCATGAAAGTGAAAAGTGAAAGTGAAGTCTCTCAGTTGTGTCCGACTCTTCGCCACCCCATGGACTGCAGCCTACCAGGCTCCTCCATCCACGGGATTTTCCAGGCAAGAGTACTAGAGTGGGTTGCCAGTGGCCTTTTCTGGTTCTTTCCCATAGGAAAAGGAAAAAAAGTTTTTATTCTCTTAGGCATTTTTCAAACACATTTGCAATCTTTTTATTCATTAAAAATTGATACATATCCTTGGAGAACTTTGAAAATAATTTGAAAACAATCAAAGAGAAAAGAAAAAAAACTGCCCTTATTTCAGGAGATACCATTACCACTTTCTACATCTTTCAGATATTTTTCCATGTATATTTTCCCACAAAAGTGAGGTCATACTATATATCTTGTTTTGCAACTTGCTTTTAAAAAACAATACCATATTATAAACATCTTTATTAATAAAAATTCATCTTAATAATTTTAACAGCTAGTAGTCCTTTATATGGAAATACAGTCATGTACTTACATTCCTAATTGTTGGACATTTAAATTGCTTTAACTATTTTCTTGTTACATACAATGGACATTCTTGAGGCAAAATCTTTACCTGTATCCTCAATGATACTTTAGGATGAGAATCACTGAGTCACATTTTTAAAAGTAATTTTTATTACAGTATCGTTGATTTACAGTGTTAGTTCTTGCTATACAGCAAAGTGAATCAGTGATACATATATTCATTCTTTTTAAGATTCTTTTCCCACGTAGGTTATTATAGAGTACTGAGCAGAATAGGATGCTACACATCCTTGTTAATTGTCTATCTTATGTATAGTACTGTGTATGTCAGTCCTACTCTCCCAGTTTATCCCTCCCCTTCCTTTTCTCCCTGGTAACTATAAGTTTGTTTTCTACACCTGCGGCTTTATTTCTGTTTTGTAAATAAATTCTTTTGCACCTTTTTAAAAAATTTTAGATTCCACAAATAAACTGTGTCACATATTTGTCTTTAACTTCACTTAGTATGACAATCTCTAGGTCTATCCATGTTAATGCAAATGGCATTATTTTGCCCCTTATTTATTTATTTCTGGCTGTGCTGGGTCTTCGTTGCTGCGTGGGCGTTTTCTCTAGTTGTGGCGAGTGGGGGCTACTCTCTGGTTGCAGTGAACGGGCTTCTCATTGTGATGGCTTCTCCTATTGCAGAGCTCAGGCTCTAGGCATGCAGTCTTCAGTAACTGCAGTACCTGCGCCCAGTAGTTGCAGCTCCCGGGCCATAGGGCACAGACTCAGTAGTTGTGGTACATGGGCTTAGTTGCTCATCATCCTAGACTGAGGATCAAACCCGTGTCTCCTGCACTAGCAGGCAGATTCTTTACCACTGAGCCACCAGGGAAGCCCTGTCACGTCCTTTTTATGGCTGAGTAATATTCCATTGTATATATGTACGATATCTTCTTTATCCATTCTTCTGTCAATGGACATTTAGGTTGCTTCCATATCTTGCCTATTGCAAATAGTGCTGCAATGAACAGTGGAGTGTGCGTATCTTTTCAAATTATGGTTTTCTCTGGATATATACCCAGGAGTGGGATTGCTGAGTCATATGGTAGTTCTGTATTTATTTTTTAAAGACACTTCCATACTGTTCTCCATAATGGTTGTACCAATTTACACTGTAACAGGGTTCTCTTTTCTCCACACGTCTCCAGCGTTTATTGTTTGTAGATTTTGTGATGATGGCCATTCTGACCAGTGTGAGGCTGTCACATTTTATTTATCTAATTAGACAATACATGCTAGATGTAAAAAAATTCTAAAGGAACAATAACATATTCAGTGAAAAATAAGCCTCCCTCTTGCTTTTCCTCTAAATATTCTTCTCCCTCCTGGGGGGTAGTACTTTTAGTAATCTTCATCTATTTTCACAGAAATATTTCATTCATTTATGAACTTTTACATCATCTAGTATGCATAGTAAGAGATTAGTAAAATGGTTTCAGTAGTGAAATTTGTTTTATAACTTTATAAATGCTAGATAATCATAGGCACAAAACCTTCTGCAATAAGGTAACATTGAGTTATTTCAGTTCTGTGGTGGTGCTTTAGTTGCTAAGTGGTGACTGAATCTTGAAACCCCATGGACTGTAGCCTGCCAGGCTTCTCTGTCCATGGAATTCTCCAGGAAAAAATACTGGAGTGGGTTGCCATTTCTTTCTCCAGGGGATTTTCTCAACTCAAGAATTGAATCTGGGTCTCTTGCATTGCAGGCAGATTCTTTACCAACTGAGCATGAGCTCTATCAGTTCAGTTCAGTCACTCGGTCGTGTCCAACTCTTTGCGACCCCATGAATCACAGCACTCCAGGCCTCCTCGTCCATCACCAACTCCCGGAGTTTACCCAAACCCATGTCCATTGAGTCAGTGATGCCATCCAACCATCTCATCCTCTGTCATCCCCTTCTCCTGCCCTCAATCTTTCCCAGTATCAGGGTCTTTTCCAATGAGTCAGCTCTTTGCATCAGGTGGCCAAAGTATTGGAGTTTCAGCTTCAACATCAGTCCTTCCAATGAACACCCAGGACTGATTTCCTTTAGGATGAACTGGTTGGATCTCCTTGCTGTCCAAGGGACTCTCAAGAGTCTTCACCAGCACCACAGTTCAAAAGCATCAATTCTTTGATGCTCAGCTTTCTTTATAGTCCAACTCTCATATCCATACATGACTACTGGAAAAACCATAGCTTTGAATAGACAAACCTTTGTTGGCAAATAATGTTTCTGCTTTTTAATATGCTGCCTAGGTTTGTCATAGCTTTTTTTCCAAGGACCAAGCACCTTTTAATTTTGCTCTATAAGCAACAAAATAGTAGGTATCCCTGTCTGCAAGAGAGATCT